GGTGATGTCGTTGCTATGGCGTTCACGTAAACAGGAGAAAGTCATTTTATACTGTGATTAAATGTTCCTTTGAAGGCGCTGCCCAGGTGCTCACTGTGCCGAGGGTCTGGCTGTAACGCTGTGTCAGCACTGCTGCTGTAACCAGGAAGTGTGGAAGGACGCCCTTCAGTAACGACATGAATGATGCTGCTGCCGGCGAGCATCGAGAGAACATTGTGTGGTGTTTTTGTGCCTCTATAATTGCAGATGTTGTTGTCTATTGTTTTGAAATGCTGGGCTGTAATTCCTCCACACTCGGGTCAGTGTAGCTGCGCAGACACACATTAAAGGGTGTTTGTGCGATGGGAAACCTGATTTAATGCGTTATGACTGTCAGCACAGGGACAGTGTTACTTTAACGCCATCTGTCCCTCGACACGCCCCCGCCCAGTAAAGTCTGTGACAAAGGCGGGCTCAGACGGACGCACCAATCGTACAATAATCTGCTCTTCGACCGTGAGTCAGGATTTATTGGGGCCCAGCTGGCTGTACTGTAAATGTGGGTAAACCTGCGTTGAGGCCATTGCTCATTGGCTGACACACCTGTGAGGTCACCATTATGGTGGTCTGTGTCGTCTCTACAGTTGGTGAGATTTTTTTCTCAAGTGTGGATCCTGGTTTAAATGAAACGGGTGGAGGTGGTGGAGGTCACAGGGTCATCCTGCTGATTTTTACCATTTGCCGGTCTGACCCGGGTCGCCAGCGTTTCCTGCTGACTCACCTCCACCGCCAGAGGTCCTCCGTGTTGGACCGCACTGGTCCACAAGCTGCTACGCCCATCAGAACCAGTCCTCCCAGTCCTTCTGTTCCAGCATGACTCAGTTTCTCTCTCTGCTGCCACTTCCTGTTTGATATCAGCCGCCACCAGCACTCGCCTTTTCCTGTGTGTGTGTGTGTGTGTGTGTGCGCGCGCGCCTCTGTTGCTTTCAGCATTGTCTGAGTGTCTCTAATGCCTCCTCCTCCTCCTCTTCCTCCTCTCAGATATCAACCTGAACTCTCCTAACAAAGCTCTCGGCGTGGATCGCACAGACAGCCTGTCCGACGTGCCCGTGGAGGGCGCTATGGCGAACCCAGCCAACCCTCCTCCACCTGGCCTGACAGAGGAGGAGGCGGAGGAGCTCCGCACCGAGCTCACCAAGGTACACACCACACCTGCTGAGATCCCAGGTGCTCGACAGCACCTGTGTGGTGGGGG